AATTAATTTATAAATTATCTATAATATATATCATAATATATAATGATATACTTATTATAGATAATATATCTATATATTAATTAATAAACCGAATTTAGACACATTCCCCATAGGTATGCTCCCACTGAGCCACTGGGGAGAGGCAAAGGGACCTTGGAGCCAGTAGCAGCTGCAGCAGGAAGCAGAGGCAGTTCATTAATAACAAGTTTAAGTTCAAGAGATGTGAGTCCATCCCTCGCTGACAGCCAAAGCACTGAGCTTCTGCATAAGAAGTAAGAAACATAGGAAATGGTTGGTGAACCTGCCATTTCCCTCAGCTCCTTCACTTTTCAAGTAGAATTTTTACTACATGAAAGGTAAAATTATAACACTTGGTGTGAATTAAGAGCCTTTCTTGGAGCACAACCACAAAACTGGGAAAGTGGAACTTAGTTCAGGGTTTTAGCATTGGGATGTGGTTAAAAAGCAACACTTGAGGGCAGCACAGCCCTGTTGAACCGTGGTTGCTGCTCACCTGGAGCTGGTTCCTCATGGAGGGTGAACCAGCCACCGACCTCACAAGCACTTGTCTGCAGGAGACAGTGGGGATTTCTAGACACGTCCGAGAGGAAAGTCAGGTCTGAAGCCAGCCAAGAAGAGTCACCAGATTGAAGGAACCAGTTTGCAATAAGTTTTGTTGGGGGTGAACAACAAAAGGTGTCTCTTTACAGTTTTCTTGCTGTTCAGCACTGGAGCAGAAGCAACACAAACATTTGTTGGTCTGAGGTGCCAACATCTGTCACAAAACAGCAAGAAAATGGATGAGATTTCCCAAAGAGCTGGATGATGGTTCTCACCCCCAAACCATTGTGTCTCTCACAGGGGGCATCCCAGAGCAGAGGCACAGCAAACCAGATGCACTCACTACTGTGGCCACACGAGACCATTCCTTATTCTCCAAAGCAGCAGATTAAAACCAGGAGGGAAATGTCTCTGCTGATGTTCCAGCACTGGTTTTGTGTGATTTAAAGAAGCAGGAAGCTGGATGCTGCGAGGCATCTTCTAATTGCCAATAGTTGATCTTGAAATTAGTTAGCACTGATGATGGTGCCTGTAAGTAGTAATGCAGACCTCTCAGCCCCAAACCCAGCAGTGAAACAGGAGCAGAGGAACTCTCCTCTCTAGTCTCTGTGACCCAGAGTCACAAAGATGGAAGTTTTGTGCAACACAGGTAAAGGCTAAAATAGTCCCCAAAGGACATGGGGGACAGGCAGCTTCTTAGAGGTGCTGCTCTGCTTTCAGCAGCCTCCTGGGCAATACGTTCACCCTCCCCAAGGATGCTCATGTCCTGACTCCAGGCTGGTGATGAGCGCCCAGTGCTCCTGTCTCCCACCATGGCCATGTGGGATGGAAACGGCTCCTGAGCCAAAACCACTTCCCATCCTCAACGTAGCAAGGGCACAGCAGCTTTGAGCTCCATCCCTTTCTTTAAATACCAGTCAGGAGTCAGTCTAAAAATTCCCTGGGTCTTCCAGTACAGTGATATTTAATACACACATCCCTCCAGAGAGAGTTCAGAGGGATTTTAGGCAGTAAGGAGAATTGCAAACTCCATACAAAGAATTCCTAAATTCACCATTCAAAAGGCACGAATTCAGGAGCATTCTTTCTCCATCTTCCCCATCTGCCTGACCCAGACAGTTGCTGCCTTTGTGCAATGGCAGGTCAGGCTGCACTGCTGGCTTCTTCTCCCAGGAAAAAGAGAAGACGTACAAGAGCAGGAGTAAAGACACTCTTGTAACAGGCAGATGCATCTCCTGCAGAAGAACTGATCCATTTGTCTAAGTTCATGGTAAAAGCCCAAGTGGCTGCTCTGCAGCGGGGCTTGGAGACAACCCAAGTATCAGCCACCCTGAGGTTAGAAAATAAGCATCTTTGCTGTATGGAGCAGGATGGATCGTTACAGCCTGTTAATAGTGATTTCTGGTGGCCACAAGGAGGTAAGAGCAAAGTGTACCTCCAAAAGGATGCCTAAGGCTGGTCCTTTGGTTGCAAATGGACAGGAGCTGGGCTTATTTACATTCCAATGACACTAACAAAACCTGATGGAAGAACAGCAAAGATGTGAGGAAGAGCTGTGAGAAGCCTTGTCCTTGGCATCCCTGGCTGCAGGGAGGGTGCGGACTGGCTGTGCCTGGCTCTGTGCCTTGCTCTGTGCCTTGCTCATCCACTCTTGCTCTGTGCCACGGACATCCACTGAGAACCTACCTCCCTGCTTGACCTAGGACCTGTCACTGATGGCCCGCTCATCTCCTCTCACTGAGCTGTGGTAGCATTGCTGCTCCCTGCCTATGGCTTGCTTGTGGGTCTGCTGCTCCCTCATGCCTCTCCTTCATCCTGAGGGCAGGGAAGAGCTTCAGGCTCTGGAGCAGTGCGGGGGCAAAATGCTAAACAAGACCATGCTGCTGCTTCTGGCTGTTCCCATGTTGCTGAGCTCAGCCCTGGTGCCACACATTCACCTTGAGTCTCACCAGGTGCCCACAGCACTAGCTCTGTGCCCTTGGAACGCTGCTCCAAAAGAGAAGGTGGGGATCGGGACCATGCCCTGACCCCTCAGGGGCATCACTCTGCTCCCTGTACCCCGGGGTGTGTGTTTCCTACCAGGAGCAGGAGGTGCCTCCCCTGCAGCAGCAGTTTTCCCCTCTCCCTCTCTGGCCAATGCAGTACCAGGCACTCAGCGCATCCTGGAGGCCTCAGCAAAGATCCCCAGCGCCTCTGCAAGCTACCAGGCTGAGAGGAGCTGGCTCTTGCTCTCTGCTGTCACAAACCCTCCCTTAACAACCCTTTCATCTGCCTGTTTTGCCTCTTGCACAGATGCAGTGCCCAGGGATTATGCTGCAGATTAAGGTTTTACTGAGTCCTGAAATGAGTTCCAGTTCCCACTCCCAGCAGGACCAATGTGCAGCCAAATCTCCTCTGAAAGCTTGGAGCTGGGAAGAGGCATCTCCCACCATGTTCTGCCATATGCATGGAAGATGGAGCCCAGATACTCACCTGGGGTGCTGTGCTGAGAGGCAGCTGCAGTAAGAGCACTTTTATCCTGGGAAGGAAAGCTTAGGAGAGGCAGAAGGAACTGCAGTTGTCTCACCAGTGGCTTTAAATGAGACAGGAATAAGCTGTCTTTACTCGGGTCACCCTGGGAGCAGGAGGTCTCAGCACAGAGCACACTTCCAGGCCAGGAGTGTGGTACTCGCTTGTGAGGGCCAGCAGACGCTGCTCTAAGGGTTCACAGGGCTTGCAGGCATCAGCACAGTGTGAGGACAAGGGCATCCAGGCTGCCTATTGCCCAGGAGCCTGAGCAGGTCACAGGGGCCTTTTCAATCCCAGAGGCTTCCCAAGGTGGTTAAGGAGTTGGGTTAGAGGCTCTCTGTGCCTCGGTGGGTCTGCTCGGGTGGCTCTGCAGGCTTCATGAGGCTGGTGGCCTGTGGTAGCCGACTGCAGGGTTTTCCAGGCTGCCCTTTTCCTAGGAGAAACCACAGTCATCCAGGCTCTCATCGAAAGAGAACACCCAGGGTTTCCTCCTTCCACTCAAAGGGGAACCGCTGGTGCTGTGGCCACACTTCTGAGATGAGCCCCGTAAACTCAGTGCCCGCCCAGTGCAAGATGGGTGTGTGCAAGTATGACCATGTTCTCAGGGGATCCCTTTATAGAGTTCCAGGCTGGTTTGTGTTGGAAGGGATCTTAAAGCTCATCCAGCTCCAACCCCTGCCACAGGCAGGGGCACCCTCCACTCGAGCAGCTCACACCCACA